TAGCGTAATATTGGATGTAGGTCCTTGCTTTTCATGACTTTGAATACTTCTTTCCCTTCCCTTGCCTGTAAGGTTTCTTTTGAGAAATCAGCTGATAGTCTTATGAGAACTCCTTTGTAAGTAACTCTCTCATTTTCTTTTGCTGCTTTTAAGATTCTCTCCTTCTCTTTAATTGTAGGAATTGTAATTATGACATGCCTTGGTGTGTGCTTCCTTGGGTCCAACTTCTTTGGGACTCTCTGAGCTTCCTGAACTTCCTGGAAGTCTGTTTCCTTTGCCTAATTGGGGAAATGTTCCTTCATTATTTGTTCAAATAACTTTTCCACTTGTTGCTCTTCCTCTCTTCATTCTGGCACCCCTATGGTTTTGATGTTAAATTGTTTAAAATTGCCCTGAAGGTTCCTATGCCTCTCTTCATTTTTTGAATTCTTTTCTCTTCATTTTGTTCTGGTTGAATGTTTCTTTCTTCCTAATGCTCCAAATTGTTGATGTGAATCCTTGTTTCCTTCCCTTCACTGTTGGTTCCCTGTATATTTTTCTTGATTTCACTTTGCATAGCCTTCACTTTTTCCTCCATTTTGCAACCACACTTAACCATTTCTGTGGGCCTCCTGATTACTTGTATTTTGAACTGTGCATCTGATAGGTTGGCTATCTCTTCAATTTTTATTTCTATTTTTGGAGCTCTGATCTTTCATTTGAGTCATATTTCTTTGTCTCAGCACACCAGTTGTAAGGGGTGGAGCCTTAATTATTCACCAGGGCAGGGAAACCCATCTTGCTGCTTTGTGGTGCTGCCTGTGGAGGAGGGGTCAGAGAGGGAACAGTGCTGCTTTCTCTGTTCTCTGCTGGCTTTCAGTCACTTATCCTGCTACATACAAGCCCATTGGGCCCTTCTGTTGCTAATTCCTGGTGGATGGGTTTGTGTACATTTTAGGATGCTGTGGTTCTCTGCAATGAACTCTCCTGTAAGGCTAGGGGTTTCTCCCACTGCCACAACCTCCACAGATTTTTATAGTCAGTGGTTTTGAGGCTTTTTTTTTTTCCTGTGCTGGAAGCCTGGGTTGCATGGTCTGTATAGACACTCATCCAAAAAGATCATACAGATGCTCAATAAATATATGAAAAGATGCTCATTGTTACTAGTCATCAGAGAAATACAAAAACTACAATGAGATTGTTACAGAACAGACCTGGGTGGGGTGAATGATATACTATTACTGAATGGACCTACCCTTGTGCTCCAGGGGTCTCCCCGGCCCCGTACTAGGTTTGCCTTGCCCACTGCCAGGGAAAGACATCTCTCAATGCCAGAGTTTGGTGAAAAGGAAAGGGTTTCTTTATTTAAAGTGTTATACAAACTTAAGAGTAATGACTTAATGTCTTTATTGATATACTAAAGTCCTTTAGAATACCCACAAACACACAGTCCTTCTTTTCCCTTCTGCCCAGTCTGGGGTACCATATCTCAATAAAAGAAACAGAAGTCCATGGTTCTTCTCTGCCCAAGCCAAGTGGTCCCAAAAAGACCCCACATGGCTGCCATGCCTGGGTTTAAATCCCAGCATCAATCTTCCTCTGTCGTTCCATTTCTGACTCCTCTTACAATTTGCCACAGCTGCCAGCACTCCCATATTTTTCCATATTTACTGGGCTGCCATAGTAAGTCCAGGCAGATGTGGCCCTGTGGTGTGGAGCCAATCATCTCCAAGTTCTTATGCAGGCTCTGTAACCAGGGGGAGTTGCCTCCCAGTTACATTATGGGTTGAAGTCACTCCCATTCCCCTGGCTCAAAGCATGGCCACAGCTGTTCAACATATTTATGAAACCAGTTGAAGGTTATAGATATGTTAAATGACTGTTCTAGAGGTCATCTGCAAAATTGTTGCTATTCAAAACAACTCTCAGTGGCCCTGCTCCATGTGTCCCATCCCTCAGCTCAGACTTGTGGGGGTGAGGAATATATATAAATATTTCCTGGACATCAAGTTCTGGACCCCATTACAAATCCCTATTTAGGGCCCCTCTTGGCTGCACCCTATTACAATATATCACTTCACCCTTTTCATCAGTAAATCAACAAACAATAATTGCTGGTGAGGATGTGGGAAAAGGGGGACCCTCTTACACTGTAGGCAGGAATGCAGGTTGGTACAGCCACTGTTGAAGGCTGTATGGAATTGCCTCAAAAATTAAAAATTAAAATTGCCCTTTTCTCAGCAATTCCCTTCTTGGAATTAAACCAAAGAAGCGTGAATTTGAAAGAGTATAAAGCACCTCTATGTTCATTGCAGTGTTGTTTACAAGATTTGGAAGCAGTCCAAGTGTCATCAGTAGGTAAATGGATACAACAACTATGGTACATTACAGTGTGGAATACTACTCAGCCATAAAAAAGAAAAATGACTTTTACCCTTTGAAACATCATGGGTGGACCTGGAGAACATTATGCTAAGTGAAATAAACCAGTCAGAAAAAGATAAATACCATATGATTTCATTTATATGTGGAATCTAGTGAACCATGTGAACTAACAAATAAAACAGAGACAGACCCATAGATAGGGAGTAGGCTGACAGCTCTCTGGTGGTGGGAGGGTGAGGGGATGGAGGGTTCAAGCCAAAAACAAAAGTGACTCATAAACATGGATAACAGTGTGGTGATTTCCAGGGGGAGGGAGTGAGTGGAGGTGGAAGAGGTTATAACAGAGATAAATGGTAATGGAAAAAATACAATAAAAATTTAAAAATAAAAAGGGGGAAATTTAATCTGAAACCAAATAAGACCCCGATTAACCTCAGCAATCTTGTGAAAGAAGAACAAAGCTGGATGTATCACAACTCTGGATTATTAAACTGTACCATAAGGCCATTGTTATAAAAACAGCCTGATATTGATATAAGAACAGACGTAAATATCAATGGAGCAGGACAGAGAGCCCAGGAGTAAACTCATGCCTTTATGAACAATTGATATTTAACAAAGATGGCAAGAGTATACAATGGAGCAAAGACAGTCTCTTCAATAAATGGTGTGGGAAAACTGGACAGGTACAATACACGCAAAAAAAAAAAAAGGATCTAGACCATCAACTTACACCACACACAAAAATAAACTCAAAATGGATAAAAGACTTAAATGTAAGTCACGAAACCATAAAAATCCTAAAAGAAAACATAGGCTGTAAAATCTCAGATATTCCATGTTGCTGTATTTTTGCCAATATATCTCCTAAAACATAAAACAAAGGAAAAAATAAACAAATAGGACTATATCAAATTCAAAAGCTTCTGCACAGCTAAAGTAAACATCAGCAAGATGAATAGGGAACCCACTGTATGGGAGAACATTTTGCTAATGATATATCTGATAAGGGTTCGATCTCCAAAATATACAGAGAACTAATACCACTTGATACCAGGATGACAAACAACCCGATTAAGAAAGGAGCAAAACTGCTGTTCAACATCACTGATCAACAGAGAAAAGAACACTGAAACTTCAGTGAGATATTATTACCTTATACTTGCCAGGATGGCTACCATCAATAAATTAACAAACAATTTTTGTTGAGGATGTGGAGTAAAGGGAATCCAGTGCACTGTTGGTGGGAATGCAGTCTGGTGCAGCCACTGTGAAAAACAGTATGGAGTATCCTTTAAAAATTAAACATGGGAACTTTCTTTGACCCAGCAATTCCACTTCTGGGAATATATCCTGAGGATACTGGAACACCAAGACAAAAAAATATATGTACTGCTATGTTCATAGCAGCACTATGTACAACAGCCAAGATCTGGAAACAGCCTTAGTGCCTATTAGTAGATGAGTGGATAAAACAGCAGTGGTACATTTACACAATGGAATACCATGCAGAAGTACAAAAGAAGAAACTCTTACATTTTGCAACAGTATGGATGGACCTGGAGAATATTATGCTAAGTGAAACAAGCCAGTCAGTGAAAGACAAATACCATATGGTCTCATTGATATTTGGAATTTAATGAACACAGTAAACTAACAAATGAAGTAATAAGAGAAGCTTAGATACATGAAACTGACAGCTGCCAGAAAAGAAATTGGGGCAGGATGAAAGATTGTGAAGTGATTAACCAAAGAACATTTATGCACAACCCATGGACACATGGGGATTGACTTAGGCCAGAAAGAAGGTGGGCCTGGGTGAAGGTGGGGAAAGGGAGGAAAAGCAGGAACAACTGTACTAGCAGAAACAATAAAAATAAAAACAAATAAATTAAAAAATAAGATTTAGAGATATAATTAAATAAAAAGTACATTTCTCTTTTAAAGGGAACTTTATTTCACTAACAAATGGAAAACTGATGTCACTTCCCTAAGGAGAATGTAGCTATAGAAATAAATGTAATGCAAATCAAATAATAGCCTTACATTCCACCTAGAGAGTAATGTGTGATAGGCACTCTGAACCTCAGGCCTATATGTCCATATTTTTAAAACGGGATCAGGAAGTGTTAGAATGTGCTAATGATGCAATGGCAGCAAAAAGGCTTTTTTTTTTAACCTATTCAGGGTCAAAGAAAACTGAAAACTAAATCACCCTCTCCAGTAGAATTTTTGGCCTGCCCATTGTTGCTGCCCAACTCACATCTCTGTGAGGCGAGCAGGACAAGGGTTATTGCTCCCATTTTCCAGTTAATGAAAACTGAGATTTGGAGAAGCAACTAGCAAAGCCACTCATCTCTGAGGCCTCCTCCTCATAGAAATCCTCCCCTACACCTGGGTCCAGATGCAGGGCCTTTTTCATCCTACCACACACCCTGAACTGAGGCTCATTGAGGCATCGGTGATTCAGTGACATGAACTATTAGCCTGCTTCTGTAAACTCAGGTTAACCTAAACTTCTGTACCCAAGGCACTGGGACACCAGGGCCCCCTGCCTTTGGAGATAGGTCCTGCAGGGCTGCATGTAGTGGATAAGCCAGGCTATTTTTATCACTTCCTTCCTCCCTCTCAAGCAGTGGCCACAGTCAGCAGCTTTACAGAGAACTTCCACTTCAGCCTCAACCAGGACAATTCAGGCCACAGAAAGGGAAACCTGACTGTAGTCCTTGAAGGTAAGTGACCCTCCTTATTACTCAATACTACCTCCCACACCAGGGACCCCTCTCAGGTTAAGAGGAGGCCAGCTGTCAAGTCCTGTCTCTGTGCCTCCTTTTGCTCTTCCTTTTAGAAGATGGGGTTGGTTGGAGCATTCACTCTGAAACACCTGCTCTTTGGCTAAGTTGATTCATTGGTTTATTCAGTGAAAATTCAATGGAAGCTTGCCCTAGGGTGAAGAGGGGCAGGAGGTTGGGAGAGCTTGTCTTAGAAAGGGGGGAAACAGTTGTGGAGAGGAGGCAGTGAGTTAGGCAGAAAAGGGGCTCATGAGACTTGAGTTTGAGTTTGGTTTCTGGCAGAGACAACTGGGTGCTCTGTGCAAATCACACTGTCTCTGGGCCTCAATTCCCCAAGCCTGGATAATTATCTCTCCAGAGGAAGCCCCACCTGGTACCCCTTTGCCGCTCCCTCCTCAGGATCCTTGTAGTGCTCTCTTCTACATAGCAAGCTGTTAGAACTAATGGGATGAGGTGTGGTATGTGAAGTCCATACCATCGGCCTAACCCGAGGCTTAGGCAGGGAGGCTGGAAGCAGCCTTTCCTGGTTCTAGCAACCAAAGGCCAGGACTGTAAATCATGTAGCAGGGACCTGCTTCCCCCACCTCCTGAGGTCCTGTCCCCTTTAGAAGTTACCCCTGCTCCCTTCCCCACCTCAGCCACCCTCACTGTCCTGCCATCTGAGTATTCAGTCCTGCCCTCTGGATCAGCCAGACCCACATTGGCCACATTTTACTTCCTTCAGTCTTTACCACCAAAGTTTTGCAGGCAAGAAAGCTAAGGCCTGAGAAGGTAATGGTTCTTTGACCCAGGTCAGATACCATTGTTTTCATGGTACCCACTGGTTCTTGGGATGGGGTGCAGGCTGCCAGGCACTCCCTTACCTCACTGCCACTCTTCCCACAGCCAGCCTGCACAATGCCTACTTGGGCAGCCCTGTTCCTGCTCTGGGCTACCACGGAGGCCACCAAGGACTGCCCTGCACCATGCACCTGCCACGCTCTGGAAACCATGGGGCTGTGGGTGGACTGCAGCGGGCGAGGACTCACATCCTTGCCTGCCCTGCCAGCCCACACCCGCCACCTCCTGCTGGCCAACAACAGCCTTCGTTCCATGCCCCCTGGCACCCTCGACAACCTGCTCCAGCTGCAGACACTTGATGTGACACAGAACCCCTGGCACTGTGACTGCAGCCTTACCTACCTGCGCCTCTGGCTGGAAGATCACACACCTGAGGCCCTGCCACATGTCCACTGTGCCAGCCCTGGCCTTGCTACCATCCACCCACTGGACCAACTCACAGGCTATGAGCTGGGCAACTGCGGCTGGCAGCTACAGGCATCATGGGCCTACCCAGAGGTCTGGTGGGATGTAGCACTGGTTGTTGTGGTCACAATGGGCCTGGCTCTCCTGGCAGGTCTGTTGTGCACTGCCACAGAGTCCCTGTACTGAGCCTAGACTCCCAGGGTCACCCTCAGGCCAGGCAGCGAGGACCTGAGCCCCGCCCCAGATTCTACCAGCCCTGATTAGCCAGAACCACCTGTAACAAAAAATAAACTGGCTACTCAGCCATTTTATTCAAGCTCAGAGATTGTTTTCCCCTCTCAGCTTCTGGAAACCTGGGTTTATTTTTCTTTATGACTAGATATCAGTTGGTGTTTGTCCCCTAAGTTTCTAAGTAAAATGGGCTGTCCAACTTACTTCCAACTACCCACTCCCAATTCCAAAATCTGGATATCCAGAGCCCTTCCCCAGGGCCTGCCAGGTCCCAGGGTATCAGTTCTCAAACCCTGCCCTACTCTTGACAGCCCAGGCCAATTGCACATCACTATTCAGTCCCTCTCCAAATTTAAGAGAAAACTCTTACAACACAGCAGTGAATAGACAGGAGGTACTGAAGAGGGCGTTGGCCATCTCTGCAACAGACATATACTGAAAGACACTTCATTCCCAATATTATTGCCTTTGACTACTCTGGCCCCGAGGCCGTCCGGGTTCACCTGACCATATCCTTTCTCTTCTGCACTAGTTTCTCTCCCCTTTATTTCCTCTCTACCCCTCTTCTTCAGAAACAAAACATCAAGTCAGTCCATTTCTCATGGAAATGACTTCCTTCCTGGTGCTGACATCAGACACCTGCAAACTCTGGGGTCCCACTTCTACCCCATGTACCATATTCTTTTTTAAAAAATTTTATTTTATTTTAATTGTTCAAGTACAGTTTTCTGCCTCCAGATTCTTCAAACAAGACACTTCTCTCCCTCAGAGGAGTTACAGTACCAGCAGATAAAATAAACTTTTCTACACCTTACAAGATAACATTTAAGTTTGTTACTGGCCAACCAAAATGCAAATATAATTACACCAAGGTCCCTCCCTTAAGGAGCTGTTCCATGTAGTGGTCCTATGACTCAGAAGGTGCCACAAGGAAGGCCAAGTGGGCACCGAGTGCCACTGAAGGGCACCTACTCAAACTCAAGGTGAAGGATGAATAGTAGGAAGTGGTGGAGACTGGCAAATCAGAGATCCCACGTTTCATCCAAAGAGTTTCAGACAAATGCTACCAAGTGGAGATGAGGACCCAGGTGGGCCAAGGTGCCCAGTATTCCATTCTTCTAGAGACTGAAATCTATATTTTTATGTGAAATCTCTGAGTTATTCAAGTGTTGGCAATTAAATAAAAATTTAATTGATAATAAGACAAATATATATTATCAATTAGATGGAGCATAGGCTGAGAGTCTGTAATTTGTTTACTAGGAATCAGCTATAAAAATGCTACCTAATGAAAACAATAGTAAAATCTGTCATCTACTTATTGGGCACAGAGTATGCAACCCCTCACAATGGTCATTTTCTGCACCCTGTGAAAATCCTGACAGGAAGATATTGTTCTCCCACCCGCATGGAGTGGCCTCCACTGTTTCCCACCACCATTCCCTCATTTCTGCTGTCACTACTAGCACTAAACAACCATGGACTTTATCCCCACTATAAGCAAAATGCCAGCTCTGTCACTGCTATCAGTCTATCCATTCCCCATGGCATCATCATCGTGATTGTTTCCTTTATGAGTATTTTCTTTTTCTTTCTAAAGTATTTTTTATTGATTATGCTATTACAGTTTTCCTAATTTCCTCCCTTCATCCCCCCCTCCACCCTGCCTCGCAACCCTCTAGCATCCCCCCAACTTAGTTCATTTCCATGGGTTGTATATACAAGTTCTTTGAGTCCTCTGTTTCCCATACCATTTTTATCTTTCCCCATCTATTTTATGCCTACTAATTATGCTTCTTCTTCCCTGTACCTTTTCCCCCTATTCCTCTCTTGCCCCTCCCCACTGAATTCCCTCTGTACGATATCCATTTCTCTGATTCTGTTCCTGTTCTAGTTGTTTGCTTAGATTTTGTTTTCATTGTTTTTCTTTTAGGGTCATTTGTTAATAGTTGTTAATTTGATGTCATTTTATTGTTCATATTTTTGACCTTTTTCTTAGATAAATCCCTTTAACGTTTCATATAATAAGGGCTTGGTGATGATGAACTCCTTTAACATGACCTTATCTGAGAAGCACTTTCTCTGCCCTTCCATTCTAAATGAAAGCTTTGGTGGATAGAGCAATCTTGGATGTAGGTCCTTGCCTTTCATGACTTGGAATACTTCTTTCCAGCTCCTCCTTGCCTGTAAAGTCTCTTTTGAGAAATCAGCTGACATTCTGATGGGAACTCCTTTGTAGGTAACTGTCCCCTTATCTCTTGCTGCTTCTAGAATTCTCTCCATTTTTATCTTGGGTAATGTAATTATGATGTGCTTTGGCGTGTTCCTCCTTGGGTCCAACCTATTTGGGACTCTCTGAGCTTCCTGGACTTCCTGGAAGTCTATTTCCCTTGCCATATTGGGGAAGTTCTGATTAGGAGACTTCTTGTAGACAATGAGCACTCAGGCTATGTCAAAGCTGAGGGGTGAGGGTCCATAGCCCTCCAAGTCTTTCCCTAGGGGCCCCTTCATGACCATGCCTGTCTTATGTCATCCCTCCCTTGAGGAATCTTACCCATCATTGGCTAACCAGTCAGGCTTGGGGCCAAGCAGGGTGAAGTAAAGGGGGCAGTGGCTTAACTCCCTGACAGGGAGTTAAGCTTTGTCTTCTTAGTGGCTTATGGTCCCAAAGTCTTTCACTCAGCCTTAACCATGGGGGGTTACAGCTTCTGAAACCAGGCAGAGGGTTCCCAACATCTGACTATTGGGTTGTCCATTTTATTTTATTTTTTTATTGAAGCAGCCTTTATTTTATTCACCTTTTATCTTGTATTATTATTTTTCTTAATTGTACTCAGATCTTTGTTATAAATTTTCTTCTACTTATTTTTTGTTTCTTTTTATTTCTGTGGTTTCTTCTGGGGTAAATTTAACTGATTATTTGGAATTTTTCCCTGCTCTTTTGGTAGCCATATATAGCTATAGTGTTTTCTCTTGTAACTGCTTTTTCTTCCTGCTAGATTTTGTTAGGTTGTTTTCAATTTGTGTGAGTCTCAACGCAGATTTAGTTTTCTATTTGTTTTCCTCTTTGATCTATTGTTTGGGAGCATGTTGTTTAATCTTCACATACGTGGTTTTTTCTCTTTTATTTTTAGCTTAATTTTAATTATTTTTAAAATTGTGGTCAGATAATATGGTAGATATCTTTTAATTTTCTTGACTTTCTTGAGGCTTGTTTTGTGGCCTAGTACATGATCTATCTTGGAAAATGTTCCACTGGACTAGGAGTAAATGTCATAAAATGCAGAATTTACATGAAATGTTTTATAACTGATGATGAGTAAAGTAATCCACACTGGCAGTTAGGGCCACTTTTTTCTTATTTTTTTAAAAGATTTTATTAATTTTTTTATAGACAAAGGGAAGGAAGGGGGAAGGAGAGGGAGTGAAATATCAGTGTGTGGTTGCCTCTTCTGCACCCAATACTGGGGACCTGGCCTGCGATCCAGGCATGTGCCCTGACTGGGAAATTGAACCAGCAACCTTTTGGTCTACAGACCTGCACTCAATCCACTGAGCTACACCAGCCAGGGTTTTTCTTATTAATTTTTAAATTCCTTATTTAAAACAAAATGGCTTTTTAAAACTTATATTCATATTTTATTTTATTTTAATTTATTTTATTTTATTTTATTTTTTATTCAAGATCTTTTTTATTTTGGCAATTGGAAAGGTGTCAAACTGCATCTTCTTTTTTTCCCTTTTTCTTTTTGTTCAAGTACCGTTGTTTCCATTTTCCCATCAGTACTTTCCTCCATCAAAAACATCCTCACCTCCTACCCTCAATCCTATGCCCTTTGGCTTTGTTCATGGGTCCTTTACACATGTTCCTTGATAACTCTTCCATTTCCTTCCCCCATTAACCCATTCCCATTTCCCCTCTGGCTACTGGGAGTTTGTTTTTTATTTCACTGTCTCTGGTCATATTTTGCTTGCTTTTTTGTTTAGTTGATAAGGTTCCACTTATAGGTGAGAGCATATGGTATTTATCTTTCACCAACTGGCTAAAATGACTCTTTTTATACATCTCATGCCACATTTCACTTAACTATTAAAGACTGGAGTTAAGGTGGTAAAAACAAAGTACAATATACATATTTCTTTTTTTAAAAAAATATTTTATTATTGTTCAACTACAGTTGTCTGCATTTTCCCCCATCACTCCCCCCACCACAGCCAAACCCACCTCCCTCCCTTGCTTCCATCCACCCTTGGTTTTGTCCATGTGTCCTTCATATTAATTCCTGAAAATCCTTCCCCCCATTATACCCTCCTACCTCCCCTCTGGTTATTCTTAGATTGTTCCTTTTTAAAAAGAATTTATTTATTTTTATTGACAAGCTTTTTATTTATTTTTAATTTAAATTATTTTATTGAACTTCTGGACAAGATGGAAGCATAGGTAGACACACTGTGCCTCCTTGCACAACCAAAGAAAGGACAACAACTTAAAAACAAAAAACAACCAGAACTGACAGAAAATCAACTGTATGGAAGTCCAACAACTATGGAGTAACCAACTGTATGGAGTTAAGGAAGAAATATTCATCCAGACCAGTAGGAAGGACAGAGACAGGCAGGCAGGCAGAGAGGACTCCCGGCAAGGTGGTGGCTGGCGGACCCAGTGAGGCAGCAGATTGTGGAGTGGGGCATGCAAGGCTGCAGCTGGCTGGCAAGGTGGCGGCTGGTGGACCAAGAGAGGTGGTGGATTGTGGACTGGGCAATTCCACATTCACGTGCAGATAAACCAGGAGAAACTCCTGAGGAATGGGATGGACTGTGCAACCCAGGGCCCTAGCATGGGGAAATAAAGCCTCAAACCACTGATTGAAAACACCTGTGGAGGTTGAGGCACTGGGAGAAATTCCCAGCCTCACAGGAGAGTTCACTGGAGAGACCCACAGGGTCCCAGAACATACACAAAATCACCCACATGGGAATCAGCACCAGAAGGGCCCAATTTGATTGTGGAAAGTGGGGGAAGTGACTGAAATCTATCAGAGAGTGGAGCAAGTGCCATCGTTCCCTCTCAGACTCTTGCCCCACATACAGCATCAAAACACAGAGACAAGGGTTACCCCACCTGGGAGAATACCTAAGGCTCCACCCCTAACTATGTAACAGGCGCATCAAGGCAAAAAAAAAAATGGCCCAAATGAAAGAGCAGAGCAAAGCTTGAGAAAAAAATACTACTAAACAACAAAGAGATAGCCAACCTATCAGGTGCACAGTTCAAAACACTGGTAATCAGGATGCTCACAGAATTGGTTGAATTTGGTTGCAAATTAGATGAAAAAATGAAGGCTATGCTAAGTGAAATAAAGGAAAATGTACAGGGAACCAATAGGGATGGAAAGTAAACTGGGACTCAAATCAATGGAAGGGATCAGAAGGAAGAAAGAAACATCCAAACAGAAAAGAATGAAGAAATAAGAATTCAAAAAAGTGAAGAGAGGCTTAGGAACTTCCAGGACATTTTTAAGCATCCCAACATCCAAATTATAGGGGTACCAGAAGGAGAAGAGGAAGAGCGAAAGTGGAAAAGTTATTTGAACAAATAATGAAGGAGAACTTCCCCATTCTGGCAAAGGAAATAGACTTCCAGGGAGTCCAGGAAGCTCAGAGAGTCCCAAAGAAGTTGGACCCAAGGAGGAACACACCAAAGCACATCATAATTACATCAACCAAGATTAAAATGAGAGAATCCTAGAAGCAGCAAGAGAAAAGGAGACAGTTACCTACAAAGGAGTTCCCATCAGACAATTAGCTGATTTCTCAGAAGAGATCTTGCAGGCAAGAAGGGGCTGGAAAAAAGTAGTCCAAGTCATGAAAGGCAAGGACCTACATTCAAGATTCGTCTACCCAGCAAAGTTTTCATTTAGAATGGAAGGACAGATAAAGTGCTTCTCAGGTAAGGTCAAGGTAAACGAGTTCATCATCATCAAGCCCTTATTTTATGAAACGTTAAAGGGATTTATCTAAGAAAAAGAAGATAAAAACATGAACAGTAAAATGACAGCAAACACAATCATTAACAACCCACCTAAAACAAAAACAAAAGCAAACCAAGCAAACAGCTAGAACAGGAACAGAGAAACACAGAAATGGAGATCACATGGAAGGTTATCAACAGGGGAGTGGGAGGGGGAAAGAGGGGAAAGGGTACAGAGAATAAGTAGTATATATGGTGGGTAGAAA